AAGGTGCTCCAGAACGCTCAAAGGGAAGGTGTACCGGACAGTGGTAAGGCCTGCGATGCTTACGGCAGCGAGTGCTGCCCTCTGAACAAGAATTACGAGAACCAGCTTCACTCTACAGAAATGGAGATGCTGATGGATTTCGAAGCGCAAGCAAGCACCATGAAGGCTTCGAAAAGAGGTGGGGTAGGGCACTGGGCAATATAATCAAGAAGGAGCTGTAGGACAAGGGCAGCGTATCCTGCGAATGCGCGGGACTAACGTTAGAGAGAAGAAAAAGAAGTTGCTGGCCTCTTGCCTCGGACTCTATTCTTTTGGCAGAAAGGCGAAGCAGAGCATCTCTGTTGATAACTGCCAGCATGCGAGACCCATAAAGCGCAGAGGTCGACGGAGAAAACGAGGGTCTGTTTGCAGGGCTAATGCCATCCCTCGTTTCTTCTTCGTTGCGCACCTCCTAGAACCTCTCATTCTCATTGGGTGACCAGTTTGTCGTACCATATTTTTTTAAACATGATAGATCTCTCCGAAGTATCAGCAATATTTCAGGCTATTCTCACCCAGCTTCCAAATCGGGAAAGTGGAGCTGAGTTCTGGCAAATGGTGCTCGACGTCGATGCGCAGGCGATTCTGCTCTTGCTCACACATGCCGAATTCAACATGTTTCATGCGAATGGAGTATTCCCAGCGGAGCAGTAAGTGCAAATCTGTTCGGATGCATCCATTGCAATCCAATGCGCCAACCAGGTTTGCGGAAGCAGAATGGAGGATTTGAGGCGAGAGCTGCCCGTAATTGGCCGTCGCAAAGATGAGCTGGCGAACTGCAGGGGCCGAGTGCAGCAGGGCCCAGTCGGGAATGGGTTTCTGTTCCCGGCTGAGAACTGGAATCTTCTGGGGAGTTTATTCCCAAACTTGAGGATTGGCTGGACATGTGGGGGGACGACTGGTAGGTCTTCTTGAGAATTGCCCGCTTACGTGAAAAACGCTCAGGCGAGACAAAATGAAAATCCCCGCCACGATTTACTCCTGCTTCAGAAAACCAGAAGCACGTCGAGTGCAGAACATACCACAAGTGACGACGGCCTCAAGTAAATCTTGTAACTATGATTCATAGTGATAGCTGATAGTTGGTAAATGAGTTGTAGTTGTAATTAGTGACAACTGATAGAATACAACTGCAACAGGCTAATCATTTCATTGGCAGAAAACATGCATTTTGTAGAGACCGTCGTCACTTGTGGTGTGTGGTCTGCATTCTACGCTCTTCTCGTTTTCTGACGCAGATTATAGATGGGCACCGATTAGGAAATTAGGGAGCGCATACGCGAAAAGTCTGGAGTAGACGAATTTCAGTCGAGACTTTGATGGGTATCGCTTATTACAAAGACGGGTGGCGTAGCAAGAGTGAAGCGTCGGGAACAGGGTCAAGCGAGGCGTCGAGGAAAATTTGGAAATACGACCCCCCTCCCCGAGGCCGAAGTCCATGAAACGACCCTCTTCAAAAGCCGAACTATGAAAAGGTTGTTTAATTCTCCCCCAAAACTGTTCATAAAAAAGCCCTGCTACCCCACCGTCCACAAAAATCGTTTAAGAAGTACAAAAGTGAAAAAGTCAAAGAATGATCATTATTAATGAGTCCTACCAAACGAGCAAACGAGAAACGGAGTAAAAAACGACAAACTAGTCGATGCTACGTAAAAATCTAGGGGCGTCTGCGAAATTCGCTGTGGGACCGCAATACCGTAACCCGCGCTCAAGTGCTGAGTTGCAGCTGGCCTAAAGATTGTTGTTTACAGATTGAGAGTGCGCGTCGATTTGAAGATGTCTTCGCTGGCAGAGTCGATATATGTACAACAGGATTTTAATGTGTAGAAGTCACTACTCGCTAAGGGCTATTACCGTCATTTATATAATGACAATCGCAATACCTTTTGTTGTTTTCCCGGCCACTGAAGTAAGGTTGGCCCATTACACGCTCAACTCACATAGTGTCGGAGGAGCCCCCTTGAGATTGCGCACTGGATTTTTATGGATTCTAAGGAATCGTTGGCACTATTCAACTATTACAACCCCAAAATCTCAAAGTTTTAATTCTCGCCGAAATTCCTTCCATAGGAGTTATTCGATGCCCAAATGACATTCATTTTTGACGTTAGCAGCGGTGCCATTTGGCGCCAGGACTATTTTCACCAAATTCGGTGAAAACTTGTATACGGGGTCATTTGGGGTCCTGCTCACGAATACAACATTCATTTTTCCCGCTAGCGCCAGTGGGCGCCTGTTTTCCGCTCGTCTGCGCCCTCTCACTGATCAGCTCGCGATCAGGACTAAGCCTTTGAGGAGGGGAGTGCTCCGAGAAGTGAATAACACTTATCCTGTGATCTTATACGCTTTAACATTTGCCACATGTTGACTGGTTCACCCACCCCGGAGTCCTCCCTCCTTCTAGGCTTAGTCCTAGGTATTATGTACAAGTGAGAGGGCCCAGGAAAATGGAAAATGAGCGTTGAACGGTGAAATGCTAAAACGACTTACATCCGTAATCAGAACCGGAAATAACCCCAAAATACCCCTACAAGTACAGCGAATTTGGTGAAAATAGCCCTAGCGCCAAACTGGCGCCTGATGGCGGCAACGCCGAAAATGAGTATCTTTTCGTAATCAGGGCATCGAATAACCCCCATGGACGAAGTTTCGAGGAAAATTCAAAATTTTGAGTTTTTGGGATTGTAATAGTTGAATATGTAGTGCCGAAAATTTTTGTAGATTTCAATCAATACTTCGACCCATCCCTGCTGTTATTTCCATTTTCAGTGAAACATCACGATGGGAAACCCTTGAATCTCCTTTTTGCAAATTATGCAATCTGTAAAGGACATTGTGCTAGTGCATTTTAAGTCAATATAGATGGAAGTGGGCTCGAGGTTTTGAACCTCGTCTGCGCCGAAACAAAAGTTGCAATACACTGAATATCGATAATTTCCAATAGCCAGTATTTTTACCAATCGCCAAAGAAGTGTGAGTCCACAAAAAGTCAATCGGAGATCAGTCGAATGTCATAGGTATGTCATAGTCGATGGTCACCGTAACGGCCGAAGCAGTACTGGTGGATGATTGGCGCGCTCCAGTAACAGAGCCGCGTCGCGACCGCCGTCTTGCAGACGCCCCTAGATTTTTACGTAGCATCAAACTAGTCACCACAAATGGAATACTTTGACAACACCTCTTCTTTATTTTATTTCCTTAGAAGGCTTTTCAAATTTGGTACTACACGGAGTATGGTTTTCAATCTACACGTCCCCTTTTTGGTTGAATGAAGGAAAGAAGCCATGTAACCGCCTTAGCCAGCTGTGTGCTGACTGATCTTTGGCGTTGACCGTGGAGCAGCTTATTTACTATTGAAATTTGAACAAATATTCAAATGATTATAACTTTCTTCAAATATGACGAATTTTCAATCTGAAAGCAGATTTGGAAGTTTTGTGAAGAGCTCTTTCTAATCAGTATTGAAATTACAAAAAGTTATAAGAAATAACAAATTTAGATCAATTAACGAGGAAAATTCATGATGAGCACGAGTTTTTACACTTTCCGAAGCCATAACTTGCTTCATTTTCGTCAAATTGAAAAGTTAATATGGCAGACAAAACTAGAAGATTTTCTCTATCAAACGGTTGCTAAAGCAGCTTCATACGTCCAGTATTCAAAAAATGGCCACGTTGAGGATTTTTGCAAAATTAACGAGGAAAATTCGTGATGAGTGCGAGTTTTTACGCTTTCCAAAGCCATAACTCCGTTCAAACTCATGCAATCTGAAAAGTTAATACGTCATCATAAACTAGAAGATTTGCTCTATTTTATGCTTGCTAAAACTGCTTCATATGTCCAGTATTCGTATGAAAAAACGGCCTTGTTGAGGATTTTGCCTTGGGCACCGCTAAAAGGTACTTTTCCGCTGTAGTGGCCCTATTTCAACGACTATAGGTGCCTTCAGGGGCAATTTCGTACAAAATAGGGAGCAGGGCTCGGAACCCACAATTTTTCTTTCCAACAAGTGTAAAATTGTCTGACGAATCTAAACTTCAACACTTATATGTTCATAAACTTGACGCTGAGAGCTGCATTTCTTGTTTATCAGTGGACTCCTCCCTGTAATTTCACACCGACCCTTTCAGAATCGTCTTGACTTTTTCCTGAACTGAGATTCTCTCTCCATAGAGCCGTAAATTGAAGCCAACTGGGCCCACTCTGGGATGCGCCGTGTGCTTCACATCCCTTCAGATTTGAGGACTCACTTGAAAGATAAAATATCCCTTGGAAAACGTGCGAATTTCGGATTCTTCAACTGTGGTGATAAAACACTGAAGTAACTAAGAATTGCTGAAGCGGACACCTTTGAATCACGAAGATTTTATGTGGGCGGAATAACAGTATTATTGGAAATCTCCTCTGGCCTGGCATTGACTCGATCCTTGATGTTTGTCCTCAGACGGTGATGATCCTACTGCGTCAACGGCCCGATCTCTTCCTCCGAGCGGGCCAATACGACCCCCCTGTGACGTGTCGAGGATTCCTCAACGCACGCTTGACCCTGGTGTCTCCCAAGAGGCTCGTCGCGCGGCGAAGGAAGAGACGCAGACGCGGCAAAGGACGAGTCGCAGCGCATACTGTAGCGGTTAGGCGTCAGGTTAATAGAGTGTACCATACTACGTCTCATATCGCACAGCACGCGCTGCGACTCGTCCTTTGCCACATCCGCGTAATAAGCTTCGCGATCGTTATGTCAGCATTCGCCATGCGCAAAGTAAGCTTCCGACTTGCGTTCGTGATTCGATATTCGGCTTTCATGAATGAAATTATGCCTGAAATCCCTTAAGTCTGTCTAAACAGTAACGGTTGCTTGTTCTGATTCAAACCCATGGAAGTAACCCTGACTCTCTAGGACTTTGTACATTTTGATGGAAGTCATGTGCGAGTTGGAGAGTTCAAGCGAGTGGTCATCGATCGTGACTGGACAATGCACGTGATTTCAGTCAGAAGCGGAGATCGTAGAAAGTAGGTCGATCAGCTTGTATTGATCGCCGCAAAATTCTGAAGTCGAAAATTTGAACGAATTGTTCAGATATGTGCACATGCATCATTATTCTGGATGGACGCACGGGAAGCAGCCAGTTCGACTTTTGGACTTGTGGCAAATACAATCAGTGTTCAGGTCGGGCGGAGGATGAACAATTTTCGCCCTTACAATTGATTTTCTGTTACAGAAAGTATCCTAATCCACATATCTATATGAGCCTCTCCGGTTGTGGTCGAGCAGGGACTTATGCTGCGTTTGAGGCAAGAACAAAACCATTTTTTTACCAGTAAAGGATGATGGATCGAAGTGGCCATATGCAAAGAGACCTACAATGTTGGATGCGTTTTTGGACGCTGATCTCGAATCTGCTTTCCAAATCTGCCACTCGATTTTCTGAAGGGAGTTGTGACACAAAACGAACAGCGATGGTGGTCGGGGCTCACAGACAAGAGGTTGTGAGGTCGATTTCCTCGCAGGTTCTCCCACTTGACGGCAACTCTTGGAAAAGGCTCTCATCTATCTTTATTTCGGAAAACGAGAAGAGCGTCGAGTGCAGACCACACACCACAAGTGACGGCCAAGAAAAACGTGGCTTTTTCTTTTTTTTTCTTGGCCGTCGTCACTTGTGGTGTGTGGTCTGCACTCGACGCTCTTCTCGTTCTCCGGAATAGAGAGTACCTTACCTGATCAACGCTTGTCTATAGTTACCCGTACAGAGAATTTTAGAGTTCGTAACAACTTCGAGGTTACTTGCTAACGATTGTACATGAAGCCCGCAGAACTTTAGATAGACGTTTTTGCACACGTGTGATATTCGCGTTCGGGATACACAAATACTTTCGGAGCGGATTTGAAGACAAATCACCCATCAGAGAATCGATCCTACGACCTCTCGCCCGTGAGCCTGGACCACTACCGCTGCTCTATTTTGATTCATAACTCCGTTCAGGAAAATTTGGCAGATTTTGAAAGCATTTTCGGGATCAGTGTCTTAAAACACATACACCAGCCAGGATCAGTCGTCACGTTAGCACTTATTCAAAAATTTTGCGACCCCCCGCCATGAACGATCCTATCGTTAGAGGACTCCCATCAATACTATCCTCCTTCCTCATCTTTCACCATCATGGCTGTTTCTATAGTATTTGATTCTGAGTCGACCAGTCGACACAGCCTAACTCCGCCCACTTTGTCCCAAAAACGGCCGTCGACCGGTGAGAGGGAGGGGGAGGGGGGGGGGACAAATCCATCAATTCTGCCTAATTCTCATTGCTTTCCCAAAAAACCGGCGTTGGCGACGTCGCCCGTTTTGCCCGTGGGACCGGCGCGATTCAAATTGGAACGCAGAAGTGGTCTCGAAATTGTCTTGGACTTGGTTGTTTCAGTGAAAACACATATCTTGCCATACGAATAGGTTTGTATTCACTTCTATTATTCTTTTCTACATGTTTACGTTAATGAAAAGAAAATGAGGAATGAACTGAACGGATATTTCGTAAGGTCCGAAAAACCTCTGCCAAACTAAAGAATATTTGGCCATTCTGTGAGCCACGTGGTTTTTGGTATGTTGATGTATGGCCTATAGAATGAATACAAAAACTTAGGAAGAAGTCGGGCATGTGCGAAAAAACAAATGTAATGGGTGTGGCATACATAGTTGCCACAATGTCCAACTGGTGCAAAATGGCGGCATACGTAGTCACCGCGCTGCCGTCAAGGTACTAACGACCTCCGTCAATCACCGTTCCCTTTATGGTATCCTTGCGGAACTCCGAAATGCGGAACCCCCTTCCCGAAGCCACAAATGCGACTCCCTCGTTCGAATAGTGCGAACGGACTGATGACCTTGCCATAAGTCCCATTGCACATGGCCTTTTCGACCCATCGTCCTTCCCTGGTTAATAAATCGTAGAAGTAGAAGCGATCGCGATAGCTGGAGAGCAATGGTTCTGAGGACGTCGTTTAAAGGCAAACTCCGGAATTAAACTGGTGCTAAGAGCGCTTCGTAGTGATAGCTTAGCTGCGGAACGACCTGAAAGTGGAGAGGAAAGCAAGAGAAATCTTTGGGAACGCTGAAATTAAGGCCTTAACCTTCAATAAGGTCGGATGTGGTACGATGGCGAGACAGGGCGATCAAAGAAGACAAAATACGCGAGAGAGCACGTCGTTTGAGAGAGCACGCTGATCTCTACATCAATGCACGCTGATCTCACCACCTCTCGCGGTGGGTGGGAAGCGTTGGAATCG